ACCGACCCAACGTCTGCCGATGTGGTATCTGCCATGCCCATCAACACTACACACAATCCTGACACACCAACAAACACCACCGCCATCAACACCAGTAACTAAGACCGGATCCAGACCTGCCCTCATTGCAATCGCACTTTTACCTCACTCATCAGCCTGGTCGGTCACTTGCGAACCACGGGCGAACCAGTGCCTGGAGCACCAACCTGCACCCGCCGCACCCCCCTCCACTGTCCACAATGCCCTCGCACATTCAGGCACCGCATGTGTATATTCGTCCAAATGCGTATCCACGAGAGCGGAATTAATCGCAGCCCCGACACACCTGGCACATCTAGCACATCCACCATGCCCAGACCCGCCTACCCTCCGCCACCAAGCGTGCCCACTGCCAATAGCTCCATCACACTCAGTATATCTTGCATACCCACCATGCTCAGCCTAATTCGTACCCCGGGTCCAGCGCGCCCACCACCACCAGCTCCGCCTGCACCATCACCGAAGCTGATAGTGACGCCGAGGACTTCTCATGTCCACACTATTTCGCACAGTCACCTAACGCATCGGCCCGGTCGGTCACCTGCGGACCTATCGCACAGAGCCCAATGGACCAGTGCCTGGAACACCAACTCACACTCACCACATCCGCCTCCACTGTTCACATTGCAATGGCACATTTCAGAAAAAGAAGATACGATTACTGGAAGAATAATTTTATTGGCCAATAAACTTCTTGTTCCAGTGATCGCATCTTCTTCTTCTGAACTGTTTCCTGGAACTCGCCTGTTCGCTTCTAACAGCACTCGCACATTTTTTAACCGCATGGGTGTATTCGGCCACGCGCGTGTCCACGATAACCTTCAGGAGACAACCGCCGCATCCTACCGCACATCGACATCACCCACAGCAAGCACCCAACTGCCACCTCCCACACAAATGGGACATGTGCGTCTCGGCTACGTCTCAATGCGGTTCCTATGCTGTATGTGTAGTCGGAGTCTGAGGCGAAGACGGTGCGTTGCGCATCGTACCTCGGAAGGCAGCCGAATGACGCCCCAAATCAGTCCACGAAGTTTGCCCAGTTTTTTGTGTGTTGAGCAGAATGGCGTACTGGTGGTCTGAGAGCCGGGCTGTCACGGCCCTTTTTCAAGCGATCTGTGACGCTCTCATGCATGTGATGAGATTGCGTGTGCTTTATGGGTGGTGCTTCAGCCGACGACTGTTTTGTTACCCACAACTGAAGGATAGCGACCCAGGTTAAATGCAGGGACACGTGTCGGCCTTCTAGGTCAAAAGGTCTGAAAGCGTGTGCCATGCAAGTATCAGCAAACCATGGCCCTCGCAGTCCGGTGTACACTAGCAGTTTTTTAGTAACAGATTCCATGTCGGTGGATGCATTTTCACTCCAGCTGGGTATACAGCTGATGGGCATGACTAACCAACCATCCTCGTCCTTCTGTTGGGGTGTTCTTATTGCTGTCGTTGTTGTTGTTGATCTTCATCTTACTCTCAACCTAGGTTCTCACGTCCGCAGCTAGCAAATGCGATCAGGAACCACAAAAGCCCTTCTGTTTAGCTTCACATCAAATGCTGCAATTGGGCCAGTTTTGCCCGCTTCTAAAGGGTATCGAATCTCAATTGATTCACACTTGGGGTTGGTTATGACCGGCTGATGACGGCGAATAAGTCAGAAATGGTCATTCCGGTCTCTCTTGTCTTTGTCGATATGTATGCGAACGCTTAGGACAGAGCCATTCCCATGGTAATTTCCGAAAAAGGTTTGGTATGGGTAATTCTCCAATCCGCTTTGCTCTTCTCCCTCTTTCAGCAAACAAACCAACCCCGGTGTCGTTGGTGTTAGTATAGTATTCTCCATAATTTAATTGGTAAAAAACTTTAAATTTTAAATTCGTCAATTTCCCTGCATTATAGGGTCTCAGATTTGCTCTCTTGCTCCATCGCACGCGTTAACCCAGTCCTTTAATGTAGGCAGCAAAACTGATCTTCATCTTACTCTCAAGCTTGGTCTTCTCGTCCGCAGCTGGCAAATGCGATCAGGAACCGCAAAAGCCCTTTCGTTTGGATTCACATCAAATGCCGCAATTGGGCCAGTTTTGTATGCTTCGTAAGAGTATCGTGAGGACTACACTGTTTGTTCCCAGAAAAAGTCTGCACTTACCTTTTAAATACTGTTGTCGGTTATCGTGCTGAACCCTTGAAAGCGCTTTCAACCCACAAATGTATACATCACGTTTTGCTGCAAAACAGATCTCCCGAAGGTTTCTGAAGACTTTGACAATGTGGAAGGCCATCAAACATTGAAGATAACCCTTTCTGACACAAACAGAGCAGTTAATGCCGTAAACATGCTGGTTGGAATAACAAAATTCCATCTTTAAACAATGGACGATGATCCTGCGCAAATGTGCTGAGCGTCAAATTTGCTCATTGCTTCTTCCACCAAACTGGACAGTCGGACAATGAACATTCGCCTGAATTAATGTGTCAGAAATATCAACCTCCGCATTTAACCAGACCAAATTTCTGATGGAACTTTGGAAACGTGCGTTCAGACCTACTGATGAGAAAAGGGAAAATTTAGACTTTATCATATAAGACGATCATGGCGTTCCGCCGCAAACTTTTCTCGAGTCTAGATTGCCGATCTGATCAAGAAAAGGTGATAAGGGAGAAGCAAAGGATGCGGAAGCGTACAGGTTGAGAGTTGCCTAACAAAGTATTGGTTTTGTCCTGCTTAAGGATCGATATCTCAGTCATACAACAGTTTGACCGTCGTTTTCGAAGATATCCACCGAGTGTTCCATAGCATCGTAAAGCGGAGACGATGATTTATGGGTGAATAAGTTTATAGTGATCGCTGACTTGCACAGCATACACCGCACTTTCTCCTCCTTCCCCATCTGGACCCGGTGCTAAGACAGAGTCAAGAAGACCGGAGGTGACTGAGACGGCCCGACCCGCACCTAAGCGTGCCACCACATCCCCCGGTCCATAATGCACACTTGACCAGGATTTTTCATCACGCCCAACAACAAAAAACACCCCAACAGGGGTCAAAGGGGCGAGAATGATGGCTGAGCAGCCATGTCCACCACCTATATATCCAACTGGAGAGGGAACGCGTCTACCGGCAGGGGGAACCAGGTGTCAGGGAACTGCCAGCGCATACCAGGCTGTGATGGCCACGATCTGCTGATACTGGCGTAGCACACGCTTACGAACATTTTGGCCACTTCCTTTTTACAGTTTTATGGACGGTGGCACTGGTTAGCATCATGTTAAGTACGATAACGTCTTCTCCCAGTCGCCAGGTATGTCAAAACATAAATGCCGTTTTCTGTTGGTTAGAAGGAATGCAGATATTTCCGTCAAAGAACATAAGGCAACAATTTAATGCTAAACAAGCTAGGGTTGCCAAAACTTCTCATTTTTAATGTTAATTAATTTACTAGGGTTGGTTCGCAGGCAACATTAATAAATTTGATTAAGGTTGCAGCAGCTACAATCTAATCCTAGGCTAATTATTTCGTCGTGTCATGGGGATTTTGGGGTAAATCCTTCTCGGTCAACCAGAAAATCATGAAACAGTTGAAAAAATATGTATACTTGTTTCCTAAAGAAAAGCTTTCCAAACGCGGACCCTAATCCCACGTCAACTCATACCTAGTGGCATTCCGGCAAATTCCCATCCAGCTGTCCCCACTTTTTTGGTTTCATCTGAATTCGAGAAAAATGAACTGGACAGAAATTTCGCAACCAGAAAACATATAATCTCTATGCCTTTTGCAGCAAACTGCCTACTAAAATGCTTCACGCGATGGACGCATGGACGAAATATCTCAACATTTGGAAAATAATTCACACACACTTGCCAAAGTGTTGGTTTTTAAGTGCACTTTTTTTTCGCCCACCTACAATAACTGCGCTTGGTAAAGCAAGACTTCGTACGTAATTTGGACTTTTCTATTGATTATTAATGTCCTCATATATTTGCATTAATTTTACAGAAAACGTACATAAAATGTTTATTTTTGTAGGCATTTTAATAGAGAATCACGTTCTCTCCGAATGTTCTACGCGATAGAAATGCAACTCTGACACTTAAACGCTTGTTAACCGTTAAACAATTTAAAGACTAATTTTCGGCAGCATTTTCGTTCTGGAACTTTAGTCAACGGACTAAAGTCATAAACCAATCTATAGAATTACAATAATGTCCTATACAATAGATTTGCTAACTCATAAAATGTCAACCGAGATTCCGAAATGCGATCTCGGTCCAAAAAGCTTACTTAGATAGGATTTTAACATTAATGACCATGGAGCATTATGTCATGATAACTCAGTTACTTTAGAATGCCGACTTTCTAATAAACTTCTTTTCAGCTGCCGGCGAAAGTAATATTGGTTAAAAATGAGTATTTGTGTAGCATGAAATTTCCTCATTGATTTTTGATGTCTTTTTAAGTTCAAATATACCTCATGAAAAACATGCATAAAAATATGTGATCCTCCGTACACGGAAACATAAATTCTGTAATTTGGGAACCCCGAATGCAAGGGTAGCGGGAGACCGGGCTCAAAATTATTCGGGAATTGGAAAAGTTTTTAAAACCAAATTATACCCTTCCTTCGGGTTTACATTTTGAAAAAAAATGGCATTTCCTACCAAATGTGTAAAATAATCGGTGTTTTTATACATATTTTCTATGAAATACATTTAAATTTGCAGGAATATCAAAATTCTATGAGAAAAATTCAAGCCACACAAGTACACGTTTGTTACCGAGTGCAAGCTTAGCGGGCAACCGAAAATAAGTTCGTTCGGAAGCTGGCATCCTGAGGTAACTGAATTACCATGAGATTATGCT